GAAATAAAAGAAATAAAGAAAATAAAAGAAATAACGAAAATAAAAGAAATAACGAGGTTGAGGGTCGATTACCTGTTTTGGCAACCTCTACAATGCGCGATCGTCATTCTCAATTTCTAAGCCATATCGTCGATCGTCGTTTCCCCGTAACAATACCATATCAGTAAGAAGAAGCGTACAGTGGATCAAGCATTTTGAAACGATGATTATGACTACCTCTATGGAATAGTTTCTACAGGTATAATGCGTTTACAAATATTTGATTTTGCTGGCTTCACTAATAGAAAAACATTCTTTATATCTTAGCTACAGAATGGCATTTCATCGGTTTTGCCACTGATGGGATATATTGCACTAGTAAAATGAATATCGAATTAATTTTTCGAAAATGGTACTCAAAAGAAGATCTTGACTCTATTCGAAAAGGTGTTGTTGGGTTGTTAAAGGATCGGGTCAATATAGATAACTCCCCCCACCAGTAAAAAGGCTAGGATCAAAAAATTTACAAAGTAATGAATAGATTTTCCGCACCACATGTACATGGCGTAATTGTAGTATTTTTATTTATACCAGGCTACTTCGAGTAATAAAGACTTTTTGATTTACGTTAATATACATTCGCACTGACAAAATTTGGTAAGGGTTCTATGTAAAATTTCTAATTTTGGAATAGATACTATTGCAAAAAAGAAATTAATCGAGTTAGTTAGAATTATTTGAATTTGAAGTTGGTGGTACGAACAACTAATGTCCGATTGCTGATGTCAATATTACAAGAACAAATAATTATTGATTCAATTAACACATTTCACCTACGTAAAGTGGGGTTACCCATAACTCTTTGAGTCGTCTCTATAGGCCTGCTTTGTAATAGCAGAGCTAGTGTCTCTGACACATAAAAAGTTCTGGCAATTTCTGGTCCTTTATCGTCCAAGTCTATAAATATCATTGATTTTTTTATATAAAAAGGTGGAGAAAAAAATATGTGACCCTTTACTCCTTTGTTATAGTTAACGATTTGGGGGGAATAAAACATTTAACAAATCTCTTTAGTTTCACTAAAGGCTCCGCTAATAAATCTTACCCACGATAAATAAAAAGATTCATACACTCGAAGTAATATCTAATTTCTAACGATTAAGGTTTGTTTATTTGTTTATATGCTATGACACCCCCCACATTCGTGTATATATGCTAACAGACCAATTTCCTCTTATATATGACATCGCTTGTTGTTTCGGGAATCGCTCCATTTTTGGATTTCGGAGGCCTATTGATGTTCGTAGAGAAAATCTCTATGTACTTGTCGGTGGCACGTTTTATTTTTCACGTATCACTAAGCAAGACATCGACGCCAAGCATAATTCCGATCCTTCTGCACGTGATAGCACGTTTAATGAAATTCTTGCCAATCGTGATGCCAGGTTCTTAACCGAACTCACCGATTACCGTTCAAAATTTAACACTGAACTTACCTCACGCGACGAAAACTTTACAGCGGAGATCCAAAGAATCTTGACAATGCTTAATACTTCTACTCTAATATTGTAATGGTAAAGATTCGATTATCATAAAATCAATTTAGATAAAATAGGTGCTTGGATCGATAGCAAAACAGTTAATAATGAGTAGTGGGAAGGAACTCTTATTTTACGGGTTAGGGCTCGAGATGTTTCCTCTCTTGAAACTCGCTACTCCATTGATTTTGAAAAAATTAAAGATTTTCGCTTTGCAAATTTCAACACAAAATAAAACTTATTAATTGTTTCATCAATGTGAATTAAATTTTTCTCTATAAACTAAGATATTGATTAATATCTCTGTTGACATTCCCAAATCCCATTACTACCTGAATGTAATCGGGATTAATTTCAAAAGATTTATTCCGTGTTTTTCTAGACTTACTTTCCACTGTCACGTCTGTATCACTTTCATTTGTAATCCATATAAATATTATCTCTAATCTGTCCTCGAAGCATGATAAGTTTGATTTTAAATTTGGCCAAACACTGGAGAAAAATTTTCCCTCAGAATCTGAATGACTACTCTTATCAAGGGTAATCTGTACTGGGGCAACATACAACTTATTATTTGTTTGCGAAATCAGTAATCCATCAATCGCCTCTTGGTTCCAACAACGTGGTAAGTAAAACATACATTTCCCTTCATTCGAATAAAATCGGATTTGTTTTTCATCATAAAAAAATTCCATATCGTCAGGCTTAAAATTTACACGGTTCGCCATGATTCCATTCTTAAAAATACTAGCAATACACGCCTTCTCCACAAAAAATACTTTAACCGATGGGTTGTTTTTGAATTTCTCTATGCAACTGATCCACTTTATATTTGTAAATACTTCCATTTTGCCCTTTTCATAGAGATGTTTCGCCATGCAATCCCGTGCCATCCCACAGACATAATGACAGAGGTGATTTTCAATGTAGAAGAAGCGATTATCAAAATCATTAACTCCGTAGCCACTTGGAGGATATCCTTCTGTCAGGAATGATGACATCAAGTCGACGTGACTGTGTAAATAGAGAAGTCAGTTTTCATACAGTTTACCAATCACGAAGCAAACTAAAAATACATGCAATTCCCGTCTTCTTTCTGGTATGGTGTCTGAAAAGTTCGTCATCGGGTCTTGTATCTTTGATATTAATTGTTGATATAAGTAGCCCAATGCATCTTCAAAATCCTTGCAATCAGATTCCAGTAAAACGTTTAAGAAGAGCGGAATATTGCCGGTGATGTCTTCAATTCGATCCTTCTGCTGATTATTCATTGTTGGTAA